CCACTTTGCCTGATTTCTCAACCATTTTTGGGTATTCGTGATTTATTGGGCAAAAAAACGAATTTTTACCTACTCATGCTAAATCTGTCTGTCTGTCTGTCTCTCTCTCTCTCTCTCTCTCTCTCTCTCTCTCTCTCTCTCTCTCTCTCTCTCTCTATCACTCTCTCTCTTCCTTTATCACTCTCTCTCTCCCTTTATCTCTCTCTCTCTTCATTTATCACTCTCTCTCTCTTCTTTTATCTCTCTCTCCTTTGCCATCTCTTTCTCATTCACTAACTCACCTATTCTGAATCAATTTAATCTTCCATTAATTTAATAGCATCCGACTATTTGTTTTTCTCGTCAACAATTAATGAAGATAGAGAAGAAAGAGTGGAGAATATTTATAAGTAAGCCCGTTGTTTTACAAGGCTCCCGTTAAATAAATTACAAATTGAATTTATTATTGCATCTTTTATGTACACATTAACAATTTTTTTGGATTATTAATTGGAATTTTAATGTTGTTTAATATTATAACGTCTGTCATGCCAGTATGCGTGCTTTTTGTCGAATTTTCAATGGGGCTTTGGTTAATTATTCAGCAGAGTTTAACTTCTATATCGAGATTTACATTTCCCTGTTGAACAAAGTAACGGTTTTATCCAACCTCTCTGTTGTGAACCCCCGTAAAAAATAAAAATTCATTTCTTCAATAGCGTTCACTTTTGCGGGAACAGGTGGTTTTGTACCTAAGCATATGATTTGAAATTCTGATTCCTCTATGTGGTTAAGAGATGATATAAAATTATAAAGTGCAACCAATTTGGCATATATACATATATTTATAAAAATTTCTTTGAAAATATGATCAGAAATGATATATAAAAAATAGGAATGTGTGGTATTTAGAGACCGTTAATTAATGATTATTTGGAGATCGTGTGATTTTCGTGATATCAGACCTCATCTGAATAATGATAAATAGGGATAAGGTTAATTTGAAAGAAAGAAAGCAATCAGTTCCTTCGTCAAGCTTACCCTTTATCAGGACTTTGAAACAATTTCCTCCGTTTTACTAGGCTAAAAATGATCTAAAATTTAAGCACTATGTAAAATCTCTCCCCTTTACCGTACACACATCTATGGTTTTAATACGTTATTCGAAGCCAAAATTGCCACAATTTTGTAATGGGAAGGAATTAAACTTTTCCTTTAATAAGTAATTGAAAAACGCCTAAGGAATTCTGTTATCAGAAATTAAATTAAAAAATATTGGAAAGCTACAATCTTACGAATAAAATTTATAATTAAATTAAATGAAAATAATGACAACATTTCGAACTGTTGGAAAAAATTGTGGGATTTCCTCCTGAGGTATAGAGGCTAATGATATATTTTTCGGTTTACCCCATATTTAGGGTTTGATCAGGGTGTTCAGCTGGGAAAAGCACTAACACATGCTCACAACTGAAGATGGTGGGAAACCAAAACGCATTCCACACTCCAAAAGGTCAAAGTAAGAGTTGTCGCTTCCCTGTTCAATTTTCTGAAAAAGCCCTCGAAACAAAAGTTGAAAATATGACGGTTCAAAACTTATACATTCTTGAAAATCGGGAGAGAAAGAGATCTGTTTTTTTCATGAGCACGTATTTTGCCCGAAAAACGCGAATAATTCAAAACGGTTGAGAAATCGTGCAAAGTAGTCAATTGAAAGGTTATTAAAATTATCTATCGATTACTAAAGGGTGTCGCTCCAGGACGATTAGGCTCCACAGCTCAATTTAAGCTATTCATAAAAAGGGCAAAAATTGTATTTTGTAATTGCAAAATAATTTACTGCTGAATGCCTGAAGCTAGGAAAACATTTCAAAAGCCATCTTGTTAAGAGTAAAGCCAGAAACACACTTACACGATGCTACGCCATGCGACGCTACGCGATGCTACCCGACGCAAATCCAAACTCCGATTTTCCATAAGGTTGCATTACCCCCGGGCACATCTACCCGATGCTATGCCACGCTAACCTACCTGACGCTNCAAACGAATTTTTACCTACTCATGCTAAATCTGTCTGTCTGTCTGTCTCTCTCTCTCTCTCTCTCTCTCTCTCTCTCTCTCTCTCTCTCTCTCTCTTCCTTTATCACTCTCTCTCTTCCTTTATCACTCTCTCTCTCCCTTTATCTCTCTCTCTCTTCATTTATCACTCTCTCTCTCTTCTTTTATCTCTCTCTCCTTTGCCATCTCTTTCTCATTCACTAACTCACCTATTCTGAATCAATTTAATCTTCCATTAATTTAATAGCATCCGACTATTTGTTTTTCTCGTCAACAATTAATGAAGATAGAGAAGAAAGAGTGGAGAATATTTATAAGTAAGCCCGTTGTTTTACAAGGCTCCCGTTAAATAAATTACAAATTGAATTTATTATTGCATCTTTTATGTACACATTAACAATTTTTTTGGATTATTAATTGGAATTTTAATGTTGTTTAATATTATAACGTCTGTCATGCCAGTATGCGTGCTTTTTGTCGAATTTTCAATGGGGCTTTGGTTAATTATTCAGCAGAGTTTAACTTCTATATCGAGATTTACATTTCCCTGTTGAACAAAGTAACGGTTTTATCCAACCTCTCTGTTGTGAACCCCCGTAAAAAATAAAAATTCATTTCTTCAATAGCGTTCACTTTTGCGGGAACAGGTGGTTTTGTACCTAAGCATATGATTTGAAATTCTGATTCCTCTATGTGGTTAAGAGATGATATAAAATTATAAAGTGCAACCAATTTGGCATATATACATATATTTATAAAAATTTCTTTGAAAATATGATCAGAAATGATATATAAAAAATAGGAATGTGTGGTATTTAGAGACCGTTAATTAATGATTATTTGGAGATCGTGTGATTTTCGTGATATCAGACCTCATCTGAATAATGATAAATAGGGATAAGGTTAATTTGAAAGAAAGAAAGCAATCAGTTCCTTCGTCAAGCTTACCCTTTATCAGGACTTTGAAACAATTTCCTCCGTTTTACTAGGCTAAAAATGATCTAAAATTTAAGCACTATGTAAAATCTCTCCCCTTTACCGTACACACATCTATGGTTTTAATACGTTATTCGAAGCCAAAATTGCCACAATTTTGTAATGGGAAGGAATTAAACTTTTCCTTTAATAAGTAATTGAAAAACGCCTAAGGAATTCTGTTATCAGAAATTAAATTAAAAAATATTGGAAAGCTACAATCTTACGAATAAAATTTATAATTAAATTAAATGAAAATAATGACAACATTTCGAACTGTTGGAAAAAATTGTGGGATTTCCTCCTGAGGTATAGAGGCTAATGATATATTTTTCGGTTTACCCCATATTTAGGGTTTGATCAGGGTGTTCAGCTGGGAAAAGCACTAACACATGCTCACAACTGAAGATGGTGGGAAACCAAAACGCATTCCACACTCCAAAAGGTCAAAGTAAGAGTTGTCGCTTCCCTGTTCAATTTTCTGAAAAAGCCCTCGAAACAAAAGTTGAAAATATGACGGTTCAAAACTTATACATTCTTGAAAATCGGGAGAGAAAGAGATCTGTTTTTTTCATGAGCACGTATTTTGCCCGAAAAACGCGAATAATTCAAAACGGTTGAGAAATCGTGCAAAGTAGTCAATTGAAAGGTTATTAAAATTATCTATCGATTACTAAAGGGTGTCGCTCCAGGACGATTAGGCTCCACAGCTCAATTTAAGCTATTCATAAAAAGGGCAAAAATTGTATTTTGTAATTGCAAAATAATTTACTGCTGAATGCCTGAAGCTAGGAAAACATTTCAAAAGCCATCTTGTTAAGAGTAAAGCCAGAAACACACTTACACGATGCTACGCCATGCGACGCTACGCGATGCTACCCGACGCAAATCCAAACTCCGATTTTCCATAAGGTTGCATTACCCCCGGGCACATCTACCCGATGCTATGCCACGCTAACCTACCTGACGCTCTGCGATCCCCACTGTCCAGATTTTCGTCGGGTCGCATTGAGTACAGTAGAAGACAAAAGAACCGGACACTCATATTTTTATTCAAACTACATGTATTATTGTCGTTATATTAATTACAACATACTTATTTTAATATAAACCAAATTAAACTGTGATTAAAAATTAATTAGTTTTTATTTAAAAAAATAATTTTAATGGTTTGGTAGAAAATAAATCAAAACACCGGAGGAATACGTACATATAGGCTGAAAAAATACGCATTTTCAAAGTTGGTCATTTGTTCACGTAAAAACTAGGTGATCGGTTTTTTTATGGCAATTAATACGAATATGAAAAATTTAGATTGAAATTCTAAAAAGCAGAGGATGGAAAAAAGAACAATTTAGCTCGTGACCAGTGATTTTTCATCTCAACCACACCATTCTTTAAAATTTTACACAATTCCTAGTGTAACAAAAATCACTGATAAGATTACCTAAGAATCATAATATTTTTAAGAAAATACCATTCACCAAGGCTACTTAAATTAATTTATCTCAACTTAAACTTCTATGGAAAAACTTAGAAACAGCATAAAATGGAGGAAATCACTAAATCAACTGATTAATTTGTATATACATTGCATATATTTTGGTAAATCAGATATAATTGATAAGAAAAGGCACTTTAATGCTAAAGATTTTTAAAAACCAGGTGGTCGGTTTGTTTATTTATTTTTAAATTAGTGCTTTATGTGTAAACATTTAGACTATTTACAAATAGTGCTTTTTTTCCTCTCTTTCCACAATTAGTCATAAAGGAAATTTTAATTTTAATTTTTTTTAAACAAGTTTTATTTAAACAATAGTTCTGATTTATTAAGTCACTCTCAAGGCTAAAACAACATTAGATACAATGTATTTAAATGATCTGTCTAAATTCATTCTCGATTATAAAGTAAACATTTGAAACGTGTTTTACCCCGCATTGACTTCGGATCGTTTGACTTTTGACCCGCTGAATTACCGAACCGGCCCTGTTGTATCCTGCCGGCTGGGCAAACAACAGGTGAGCTGTGAATCAGGAGAGGTAGGTGCCACCGCTACATTTGTCAGTCCTTCTCAGAGATAGATGGCCCTCTCTAATTCTCAACACTCTCCTCCTAGAGTTGTCACATCTGCCTTTAACTACATTTTACGGCCCTTTTTTTCTGTTTACCAACCGGATTGGCTCGATTTGAGCGTTTGAAATCAACTCAAATATCTGGGAATAATCTGGACAAAATTGATTGGAAATGTTACGACTAACATTGTTATTTGATGTTTATGCAAAACACCCTGCTCTTCTACTGAAAAAAACATTGTTATATAATATACCCGTAAGGATATTAATTACCTTGTCCAATTTCTGTTTTATCCTTTTTGTCGAAAATTCCTAACTCATTAAAATGATGTTAGCACTTCTATACCTTTTTTTAAGCGTAATTTGATCTTTATTAAACTATCTAACTAATAAGATAGCAACACAAAATAAAAGTTACGTATGTATTAGTTTGTTTTTATTGCTCGTATGTTTTACATATCGAAGCTTAAGTTTATTCAGCTTTAGTCCCATCGGAACGTTGATCCCACACGTTTTACTTCCTGTAAGCTGCCGTCTGAGTATTTCCGTCTGCTATCAGAGAATACATTTGTCTCCGCATTTAGATCTCAACGATAGCAACGATATCGTTGAAATCCGTTCTCGCCGAACGGTTTCCCCTATCTGCGCTTCGATCTGCTTGTGGCTGTATTGCTTATTGCTTTTCTCAATTCTTTTGATTTCTTTTCTAACTCGTTTAACACCAATAGATTTTCCTCTATCGGGCGATTTTGGAATCAATGTTGACTCCAAGTTTGGAATCTTCATAGATTACACACCAGAAGATTGAAACTTTTTTTAATGTTTTCTATGAGCAGAGTCAGAAAGGGACGGTTGTAATTATTTAATAATTTTCCCCTCGATGATTGCGATGTTAGTTTTTCGTATCCGTATGAATTGTCAAAATGTTCAAATATAAAAACTTATAACAAATTTAATTTTAATAGATCTTACATTTTGTAGAATCTAATTTGATTTTTTTTAAGACGATGAGCATACCTTTCAAATTTAATTCTTGTACAATTCCTTATTCGTATAGCTTTCGTAGTTCAAATTAACCCTTTTTAACTTAAAATGTGCCTTTTTTAGCTTGAAATTACCCCTTTTAACTCGAAATTTTTTAATTCCACATTAACCAGTTTTAATTTCAAGTTAACTCTTTCTTTAAAGCATTAAAAAAACTTGAGAATGATACATTGTAAGAAAAAAAGTGTAACAGCTCTATAGTTTACTTTTTTAATATAAAATAATTGGGCTTTTAATAGCCTATAAATTAATTACAGTTAATAATAATTATTAAATTAATAGTTAAAAAAATAAACATAAAAATAAGGATTCTTTTAATTTGAGAATTTTTAAGAATGGGTTCTTATATTTGTATATTTGTATATTTTTTATTATATNTTTTTATATTAGAAATATATATATTATTTATGTATATTTTTCAATCCCACATGGAAATTATGAAAATTTACAATTAAAATTACAAGTTATATAAATTAAATTAAAATTTATATAAAATGAAATTTAAAACATATGATAACTGATTCTTCTGTTAATTCGAGTTTTTAAATAAGTACCGGGTTCGAATCCAGCAGCCCTGCATTCCAACCCGACAAATCGGCTTTACAAATTGAAAAAAAAGCACCCCTAGGTTTTATGACCTCTGTTGCAAACCCTAGAAAAAAATTACATTTTTTAAATTTCTGTTTAAAAGAAGAAACTTTTTGTATATTTAATTACATACTTGTTAATTTAAATTAAAATTCTAAGTCTTAATTATTCAATATTTTAAAAACTGCACTCTTACGGGGATTTTGCTTTTCATGCTTATGTTTCCTGCCATATCCCCAGTTTTTAATATTTTGAAAAAATGTTGGTATGAAATTAAAAAGGTTTATTTAAATTAAAACGGTTAATTTGGCGACAAAAGTGGTTAATTTGTCAAATGCTGTGCTGCTTTGAAAAATGCTATATGTAAATTTCTTCATTCATTTTTGATAAAGTTTAATTTTGTCAGACAAGGACTTTAGTTTGCGGATATATTGAATTCCATTTTCTACCTGTTTTAAAGCATATTTTAAATTAATTTTCACCTTTCTACTCTGTTATCAACGTATTTGGCTTCGGTTTATAGTTATTTTATTTTATTTATTTTCAAATAAACGTGACTACTTTTATTTGACGTATTTGTTTTAATATCTGAGTATCAATATTTTTTTGTTTTATTTATTTTTGTTTTTGTTTTCAGATATTTATTTAAGTTTCTCCTATTACATGTGAGTACTCATTTTTCTTTTCTTTTTTAATTAATGATTAATTTTTATTGTGAATTACGCTATAAGGAACCTAAAAACCTAACACTCGGTTATGGAAACTGCTTGCTCTCGGGGGGGTAAACGTAAAAAAACCCGGGGTTGACTGTATTTTATGAGTCCATTAGAAACCAGAGTCACTTGTCTTTTGGCTTTTTCCTCCCTTTTCCTTTTCTTCTGGGAAACTTTCTCCCCTCTACACGTCGGGTGGGCTCTGCCGACAAAAGAATTACACCGGGACGTATTCGTGTGTTTTAGACTTTATACGAGTAGATAAACAGTGGAACTTCTTTAACGGCGCGCCCTCTTCTTTAGCGAATTCAAAGACAGCGGCAATGAAGGGAGAACATTATTGCCTCGGCTCTGGGGATTCTCTCTATCGAGGTGAATCAGTTCTCTGTGAAGGTGTGGAATAAATTTATTCTTGGGAAGTTTCTTCTCTTTATTGTTTCTCTTTTTTTCCGGGTTGTGGCGAGAAGTTAAATTGTCGTTGCTGAATCATCAGACAATTGCTTCCGTTTATCAAGGCCATTGAAGTGGTTGATACAGTTCGTTTTCATTTTGTGACACATCTTACTATAATCCTCTATACACCAAAACTTCAACTATGGAAACACAAGTTTCAATATTTAGAAATATAAGGGGAATTACTAACAAAAATAAAGTCAATTCGTATGCTTTTCTGTTATTAAGTAGCCAGCCGATGATGTTGACATTAAATCGAATATCTTCCAACATGATTTTGATGACACAAGTTCATCACTAGTAGTCGTGAGATTAATTGGCATGCGATCTATTTGACGACTCGTCACTTCCGGTCCGCCTGCTTCGTGTGAACGTGTCCAGATTGGGTACCACATACGTCTCCATCCTCATATGCGATTCTCAAATAACAGGCAGAACTTTGAATTGTTAGTCAATAATAACATATAAATATTCAGACAATTTTGATAAGAGTTACTGATATTAAACCATCGAAACTAAGGTATTTAATTTATTTGAATGAAAATTATAAAAAAAATTCTTTAAAACTAGTTGTGACATTTTTTTATTTAACCTTAGGATGTATCAAAAGTTGGAATGTTTGTATATTTATTTTATTTGAAATATTATCTCGTTTTTATTTTAGAATCAATTCCGCATATACATAGCATAATCCATTCCGGTTTTTTATTTACTAGTACACAATCTACGTTTATTTCATCCGTTTGGAATATTTGGCATCATAATTGGGTCCGAAATTAGTCCGAAGGAGCTTGGTCGGCTATTAAATCAGTACGAATTCAAATTGTGTAACCTTTTGTGGCCTGTAGGAGAATATTTGTGGAATATTCTTAGAATTTATCATTATTCGTTACTCTTATTAAAAAAAAAAATCGGAATGAATATCGCCTTAGAAATTGCATTGAACACACGACATGACCTTTTTGGGAAACCTTTCTCGCCTTGGCACAGAAAAAGCTCGTTTCCCGCTTTTTTTATATTATTCATAGTTTTACTATGTCGGGGTCTTTCCATGAAGCAAAAATTTGTGAGGGTTTTGAGATTTCCACTATAAACACATGCCCTTTTGCTCCAACCTCTGCTCAAAACTTATCTTGGCATACTTTTAATTATAAGGGGGTGGAAACACAAGTACTTTTAATGCAGTAAATATTGTTGGAAAGAACTTTACCCATTAACACAACAGCGTAATTTATGGTTCGGTAGTATTCACTGATGATTCTGCAGTTCCGGATATCATTTCAATGCATGGAAAATACCGCTTTTTCGCTAGTTACAATCTGGAAAGATGTGTAGTGATTAGTGACCGTTAATCCATAATTATTCAGAAATCGTGAGATGCGGTCTGGTGTGATGTAGGTTTCAGAAAAACATTTTCTTTATCGTGCCAACGTTCACTAATTTCGTGGTCCGCTTGACCAATTAATACATTACAATTAATTAAGATTTTTTAGTTGAGATAAAAAAGTCAATGGCACGAGCGGGATTCGAACCCACGATCTTCGGCTAGATACGCAGCTGATCTACCACTTGAGCTATCGTGACCTCGATCCACTCGGACACTAACTTCCCACCTCAACCCCACCTTAACCCCACCTTTTGAATTTTCACCTCCTTTTTGCCATTTTTTTAATAGCGGCGTATCTAGCCGAAGATCGTGGGTTCGAATCCCGCTCGTGCCATTGACTTTTTTATCTTTTGTTCTTTTATATTTCTGGATTTTTGAAGTCGAAATTGTGTTGGTGTTCAAAATGGTGGGTAGCGAGTGCTGTAGGATTTTGCTTAGCTTTTTTTCAATCATAGATATGTACTGCTTTACTCTCTTGTCCAGATATTGGGATGTAAGTTGCCCGACAGTTTAAACAGTTGATTTTGTAGATTACGTCAGATTTATTTGTCAGTGTTGAGTTGTACTTGTTGATTATTCTGTTAATTATGTGTTTAGGGTAGAGATTGTAATGGAGGATCTGTTGTATATCTTTATATTCTTGTGGTGAAATGATTCATGGCTTAGGGTAGTCATTCTGTGAAGTAACCCTTTGGCCGTGTTTATTATTGTATGAAGAGGATGGTGAGATGTAAAGTTCAGGTAGCGATTTGCGTTTCTTGGTTTTTTGGTACCAATCTGTGATTAATGTGCCATCTGGTTGTTTTATTACGAGTGTATCTAAAAATGGTATTTTTGTTTTGTTTTCGATTTCATGTGTAAATTGTAGGCGTGGATGAAAGCTATTAAATGTATCTGATGTAGTTTGAATTTGATCTGTGGGAACTGCTGTCAATATATCATCTACGTATTTAGTGAGGAAGGGTAATGTGAAAGGAAGTTGTTGTATGACTGTATTTAATAGATGTGCCATAATTATGTCTGCCAGTATCGGGCCTAGGTTGCTACCCATGGCTATACCAAATAGTTGTTTGAAAAATTGATTTTCGTATGTAAAATATCCGTTAACACAGTAGTGTCGGATCATTGTTATATACGTGTTCTTTGATAGAGTTGTGAGTGGTGTTATGTTGGGCTATTTATCTTTAATGTTCAGTCTTGTGTCTATTGGAATGTTGGTAAACAATGATGAAATATCTACGGATATGAGAGAGTAATGTGAGGGGATGTGGATATTATTAACTTTGTTAATGAAATGAAATGAATCATTTACATTATATGTGTTGTCTGTGATGTTGTTGAGTAAGTTGGTTAGGTATTTTGTCATGTTATATGTGGGTCAGTTTACAAATGAAATTATGGGTCTTAGAGGGTGTTCGGGTTTTTGTGTTTTTACAGATCCATATAGTTTCGGGGGTGTTGGTGAGTTGTTTTGAATTGATTTGTAGGTGTATATGTCAATTTCTTTTGGTTTAAGTGTTTCTTGGAGAATTTTGTTTGTCTGTTTGATGAGAGAAGGAGTAGGGTCTGATTTGATTATGCTGTATGTGTTTGTGTCTGTGATAATTTTGTTAATTTTTTCCTTGTACTCTTTTCTGTTGATTGCTACTGTTTGTTTGGTCTTATCAGCAGAAAAAATGAGTATGTCAGGATTATTTTTGAGAAAATTTTTGTTGTCTTAAGACATTGGAATATGTTTGTTGAGATATAGTGTTATGTTGATTTGTAGTGAGGTGTTGCAAGTGATTTGTTATTGTGTTAATGCATTTTGATCGTGTTATGTCTTTTTCTTCCTCTGTTTTTGTGGATTTTTGGATTGCATAGTCTACATCCGTAATTAATTTAGCTGTTGGAAAATCCGTTTTGTTGTAAGGAATGGATTGAATAAAAAAAAATATATTTTGCATTGTATAAATTCACTTTTCCACATCCTAAATGTATTTGTTAAATGTAAACAATGTTTGTAAATCCCAGGCCCTGAAGATGATCTCAATAAAGATCGAAACGTTGGCACGATAAAGAAAATGTTTTCTGAAACCTACATCACACCAGACCGCATCTCACGATTTCTGAATAATAATCTGGAAAGAGTTCCGAACAACGAATAGATAGGAGGTTAGGGTTGGAACATATAGCCTGACAATTCCAATAAACGCACGATATTTTCTTTTGTTTCAACCTTTGCTGAAACCTTAACCAGACTCGACCAACTACATATTTTAAAGTATCAATATGGCAAAATGGATCCATTTCTTTCATAACTGTCGTAGTAAATAACAGATGATTTTGCAACTTTGGGAACCATTCCAATACCTCTAAAATACTGATTTTTCACTGGTGTAAATGTGTGGTACTTGTCCAAGGATTAAGTGGCATTTTTTATATATTTTACTCGTTACAAGCTGAAAACAGTTCCGAACTTACAGCCAGACCATTCTACTAAAAGAACGGCATTGTCTTTTGTCTCAACCTTAGCTCAGACTTCAATCATCCAATTTAAAGTATCAAAGGGTCCACTTTTTTCATAACTGCTGATTGTGGAATTAAATGTCACTGTGATTGTAACAAGGCTGCTATGGTGATAGTAGTAACACATGAATTGTCGCTGAACCTTTTGAGAACCGCCCTACCTTGAAAGCCATCACCACATTAAAGTGGTGGGAAACCTCTGACACATTCGTGATTATTGTTGGACAATTAGAAGCTACATCTCGAAAATATCCGTACAATAGTTGACTTCCTGGTATGACTGTGAAGACTATGGTACATGCTTGATTTAAACCAGCTCTGAGTACCGCGGACTATCTTGGCGTGTATATTAACTAAATGCATTAGTAACCATAAAATATTTTCTGAAATTACTTGTTAAAATCGACTGAAGTTTATGCGATAGACCAAAACACCATTCAGTTCACTAGCCATTTACTGTAATATTTCTACAGAATGAACGTTTAATAATCTGTGCTAAAAGTTAGAATCTAATTAAAAAGTTCTTGAAATTTTTTTAAATCCGTGTTTGTTTAAAGAAAATGAACAAAACTCAGAATTGCTGATTGAATTAGAATAAATAAGA